TTTTAATAGCGAGTGACTATAAAATTAACAATCGAACGAACGATTAACCAACGGCACGAAATCACACGATTTCGTACCTCCAAGTGGCATACAAGCCACGCTTCCAAGGACGCAACTAACGATTGCGCCAATCAATCCTCAAATTAGCCTGCGTTATTAAGGTTTTAGTGGAGGTTAATGTTTATATGTGTGGACACGTGCTAACCGTTGTCACAAACAACTGAAATAACGACCAAATACATTATGTTCTATGTATGTGTGTGTGTGAATCGTCGTGTGTGTCACCGCCGTTCGCAGTGAACCCTCCAAACTTAGTGTATTGATAATAATTCTGGGTTTTTTATGCCGAAAGGCTTTTTCCCACAAAACTGTGTTCTTTTTTTTTCATAATTTAATGCAGCTATCATACCACCTAGGGTATGATAGCCTCCAACGTCAAACCATGGTGCCTCCTGTGAGGTTTGAACTCACGACCCCTGGTTTACGACTGCGAGTGACGTATGCGCACAAATACGTAAAATAAACAAAACGTTATAAAAACTGTTAAGTAGTCCTCGACGAATCATCACGTCAGACAATGCTCATCGTCAGCCATCACCCGTCACTCCCGTTCCAGGAAGCATCAACGTCACGTAGATCTCCACATCGTAAATTAGTACAAAGATAAGTCTGCCATAGTTATCTCACTTGCATTCAGTTCCTCAATTTTGTTCATTTGGTTGTTATTTTCCGATTCGTTCATATTATTCATCTCTGTGTTCCCGTCGTGTGAGTAGACAAGTCTGTTCGCGCGCATGCGTCAGCTGACGCATTTGTGGGACTCACAGCATTAACACGCGCCGAACTGAATTCGTTATTTGTGGATAACATCTTCCCTTTTCAAACAATTTACGTTCAGTGCAATTTAACGCAATTTAATTAAATTTTTAGTTCATTATTTGATACATTTTAACGGAACGTAATTGATTTTTCTCAGTCAATTAGTAAATTGAATTATTATAAAACAGTTATTTCATCTTTTCAAGGGTTTTATCAATTTCTATACAATCACCTCAGTTCTATCAATTTAAAATAGAAGCCTTTTCATAATAAAATTCAGAAATTTTAATCTTGAAAAAATGGAACTTTCTCAAGAAGAGACGAAACGCGTTGCGTACCTTCAAAAAAGGTTGAACACTTTTGCCATTTAGGTAGAAAAAGTGGAGCAATTCTTAGAAAGCCTAAATGTTGATCCCACAAATGCTAAATTGCGTCTGGACAGTTTGTTAACATTTTATGAGAATTGTTTGAAGTACAACGAAGAGTTGACTTCACTTCAACCTGAGAATCCTCAAGTCGAAACTTTTGTAGATATTGAGGCTCAACATTTCGAGGTGGCTACGGCAGTCACAAAGATGCAACGAGTCGAGCCACTTCTAAGTTCCACGTTCAATCCCAGCAATATTACGATTACCGAACGGCAAGACCTACCAAAGCTCCCTAAAATTCGGATCCCTGTTTTCGATGGTAAGCGAGAAAATTGGGCGACATATAAGAACAAATTTATTGCTCTTATCCATTCTCGGACGGACATCAGTGAAGCAGTGAGGTGCAGTCAACTTTTCGACTCCCTCACTGACCAAGCTTTGGCCAAAGTCGACCAATTCGATCCTAGTGACAAGGATTATCCAAAGGCTTGGAAAACTCTTCTGGATTTCTATGACCACAAACGCATCGTGGCCGTAGAACATCTAAATGCCATTCTCGATCTTCCTCAGTTTACAAAGGCGTCCGCTGACGACTTATCGATACTTCTGGACAAAACTCGCCAACATCTTCATATTCTGGAGGGTCTTGGCGCTCGATCGGGTGATGATTTCGTTGTTCGTATCGTCGAGCGCTGTCTTCCTCCAGCACTCAGAAGAAAATGGCAAGACAAACTTGGGATGGATGAGCTTCCAAAGTTAGAGGACCTTCTCGAGTTCATCCAAACCACTATTTTCAAGCAGCAAGCTGGGGATTGTATGTCCCTACCTATTCGCACTCACAATCCGAAAAAGAGAACAGGAGAGAATCTTCCTCAGTCTTCTAGCAAATTTGCTAAGACTACTTCCCACATTTTCGTCACATCGTCCAAAGCGGACTCTTCTGCCTCTCAGCCCACCTCTTTGGTCTGTCCGAGCTGCAAGGAGGCTCATCACCTTTACAAATGTCCAACATTCAACGGACTTAGGGTTCAAGATCGTTGGAATCTTATGAGGAAGGTGAAGGCCTGTCAGAATTGTCTTTGGGTTCACCAATTCCTTTGCAAAAGCGATAAGCGTTGCGAAAAATGCAGTCGCAATCATCACACACTGTTGCACAACGAGAAGGGCTCGCAACAGTCCAAACCCAAGGACGCAGCAACTCCTACATCCAGCAGCAGTCAACAATGACTAGCGCGTCCATCATGTACAACTAGAGCCTTCCCATCAGATTCGCAATTGATGACCACAGCAGTCATCAAGGTTCGAAACAATCGAGGGAATTTTTTCATGGCACGTGCACTATTAGATTCTTGTTCCACAGTGAATTTAATCACAGAACAATTCGCAAAATCACTTCAATTATCCACAACTAGTTGTTCTATTAACATTGGAGCAGTTGACGGTCTGTGCACTGCACACAGAAAACGTTGTGCAGATTATCTGCAATCTTATGCAGGTTTTACACATAAGCTCCGCGAACCTCCCACTATGTGTAAAGTCTGCATAGTTATGCATGAAATATGCATAAAGTATGCATGAAATCTGCTAGTAACCAATTGCAGATTATCTGCACTATTTATGCATGTTCCGCCTATAAGAGTTCCGCAGAAAAAAACGCCAGTACTCACCGAAACTTCAATGAATTGCGACTTTAACAATTCGGAATTTCATAGAGAAAGCAAGAAAAAATTGTAAATTCTAAATCAATAATTTAAGGGGATAATGGGACAAAATGAACAGTAGAGGAAAGTGAAAGAGAGCTGTTTGTTGTATTAGTTTCGACTCTTCATCACGCTGTGGGTAGCTAAGGTTTCAGTTTGTCTCAGCCTCTCCTATAAAAGGTAAATAAGTTGAAGAAAATAAGTACGCACGAAAAAATTTAGTAGAAAATCCTCGCAAATTTGCTAGACAGTTCTTTTGAATTGTTAAATAGAAAATATTCTATTGATGCAGTTCCACATAAAAACGCAAGGTCAAAAAAGTCAATTACGGGGATTTTTTCGCTAATTTTTTTCTCCTGAGTGGTATGAGAGTTATTTCTCAGGTTGCATTTTAATGGTTTAAATGAGAACATTGCTGAAACCTGAACAAGTAAGAATTCATTTTCTTCGTATATCCATCAAAAACGTCGTTTTTCACGTTTTTAGCTTAGAAATGCCCCTTGTACCACAGTTTTCATCCGATTTCAACTTTTTTTTTTTTTAATGTTTGCTCCAATGAACAAACCCAAGTATCCGTTTTGCTTTATATTTATCAGATAATGAAAAAATGATTTTTTTAGTTTCTATTCTTTTTCCTCTTTTTAGCAAATGCTAAAACTAGTTGTTTTTCGTTATTCCACGTTGTAATCATACGTAGTCGAAATATTAGAACAAAAAAAAATGGGGGGAAAACAACGAATTTTAGCATTTGCTAAAAAGAGGAAAAAAAATGAAAAGTAAAAAAAACATTTTCTCATCATCTAATAAATATAAAATAAAACGGATACTTGGGTTTTTTCGTTGGAGTATAACGAACATTTAAAAAAAAAGTTGTAATCGGATGAAAACTGTGGTCCAAGGAGCCTTTTTAAGCTAAAAACGTGAACAATGACGTTTTTGGTGGATATACGGGGCAAAACAGTTTGAGTCCGAAATTTTTCTCGCTTTTTTATATATCCCTTCATATAGCAAAAGTTATCCAATGGCTGTTGAGGCCGAGTCGGGACTTTCAAATTTCACCGCGGTCTCCCCTTAAAAAATTTTTTTCTGAATGTTGTTTAAATCTTTAGAAATTCCTCGAGTATTTTGGAAAACTCAAATTTTATTCAAATTTCCAGAACACCTAAGAATTTTATTCTATTTTTTAGCAATTCCGGGAATTTCATCAGAGTTTCTAGAAACTCCTCGAATTCACTTAAAATTTCCAAAAACTCCCTGATTTTTCTCGAAATTTGTAGAAGCTTCTCAATTCCCTCGGAATTTTTAGAAACTCCTAGAATTCCAACGAAATTTCTAGAAACTCCATGCATTTTCTTGAATTTTCTAAAAATTTCTTGAACATTTTAGAATTTTCTAGAAACTCCTTGAATTCTCTGGAAATTTTTAGAAACTCCTAGAATTCCAACGAAATTTCTAGAAACTCCATGCATTTTCTTGAATTTTCTAAAAATTTCTTGAACATTTTAGAATTTTCTAGAAACTCCTTGAATTCTCTGGAAATTTTTAGAAACTCCCTGAAGTCCCTTGAATTTTCTACAAAAATCTAGACCTGTAAGCTCAATTTCACAAAACGACTCCTCATAACGAAAACATAGACGTATCCTCATCAAAATTTCGCCCTTATGTGTAAATCATGCCAAATCTGTGCGGAAAGTACGCACAGATGTGCAGATAATCCGCATATAAATTGTGTATTTCATGCATAGTTATGCGGATAATCCACATAACTATGCATGATTCACGCACTATTTATGCATGATTTGCACATAAGAGAGTGACTTCGGCTTATGTGTGAATCCCGCATAACTATGCAGATTNTGCATGATTCACGCACTATTTATGCATGATTTGCACATAAGAGAGTGACTTCGGCTTATGTGTGAATCTTGCATAACTATGCAGATTATCCGCATAAGTGTGCAGATAATCTGCACAGCGTTTTCTGTGTGCGTTTCGAAGAATTATGTTCAATTAGTTCTTCATTCAAATTACAACAGTTTCAAACAACAATTCAATTTTTTGCTAGTGCCAAACATTGCCGATGCAGTGCCTAATGACACGTTNTTGCATAACTATGCAGATTATCCGCATAAGTGTGCAGATAATCTGCACAGCGTTTTCTGTGTGCGTTTCGAAGAATTATGTTCAATTAGTTCTTCATTCAAATTACAACAGTTTCAAACAACAATTCAATTTTTTGCTAGTGCCAAACATTGCCGATGCAGTGCCTAATGACACGTTCCCTCGAAATCAATTCAGCATCCCTAAGAATCTTCAACTCGCTGATCCTCAGTTTCATCTACCAAGGTCAATCGACCTTTTGTTAGCATCGAACACCACATTGTCGGTTTTGTCCATTGGTCAGATTAAACTCTGCCATAAAGATTCTGCCTTAGTCTTACAGAAAACTCGTTTGGGTTGGATCGTCGCCGGAGGGTCTGAGATGTTGACTTCTTCAACAACCACTCCTTGCAATGTCGTCAAATTGGACAAACTAATTGAGCGTTTCTGGTATATTGAAGACTTTGATCATGAACCCGTTCGATCTCGTGATGAAATTTCTTGCGAACAACATTATGTTACAGATACCAAACGTGATGTTATTGGAAGATACATAATTCGACTTCCATTCAGAGATTCTGAATTCAATCTAGGTGAATCTCGTAGGGAGGCCCTCAATCGCTTTTGTTCGTTAGACCGAAAACTTTCATCAAATTCTCCACTGAAATCCGAGTACATCAGAGTGATGGAGGAGTACATTTCTCTTGGCCATATGACTCTTTGCAATGAAACTGAAGGTGGGTATTATCTTCCTCACCATGCTGTCATCAAGGACTCCAGTGAGACCACCAAGGTTCGTGTAGTGTTTGACGCTTCGGCCAAAACTTCTACGGGCATTTCGCTCAATGACACCCTCCTGGTTGGTCCCACTATCCAAAACACCATATTTGAACAAGTTCTTCGATTTCGCACTCATCGCTATGTCAGCACAGCGGACATTGAGAAAATGTATCGTCAAATCCTGGTTCATCCAGATGATCGACAGTTCCAAAAGGTTCTATGGCCCTATCAGGGGAATCTTCGAACTTTCCAACTCAACACTGTGACTTTTGGTACAGCCGCCGCGCCATTTCTAGCAGTTCGTACTATTCAGCAACTTGCTCGTGGTGAAGCACACGATTTTCCACGTGTCAGTAAACTTCTCCTTCGTGACTTTTATGTCGATGATTTCATTTCCGGGGCCGATTCTTTAGATGAACTATTGACTATCCGTGATGAGATGATTGCTTTATTATCACGCGGTGGTTTCATCATTCGTCAATGGTCGTCTAATCATCGTTCAGCTTTGAACACCTTCGATAAAAAATTCTTCGATTTAGACTGTTTGATCAAAAATGATCCAGTCCAGAAAACCTTGGGAATCATATGGGATGCCCAGAATGATCTGTTGCGGTANTTTTGGTACAGCCGCCGCGCCATTTCTAGCAGTTCGTACTATTCAGCAACTTGCTCGTGGTGAAGCACACGATTTTCCACGTGTCAGTAAACTTCTCCTTCGTGACTTTTATGTCGATGATTTCATTTCCGGGGCCGATTCTTTAGATGAACTATTGACTATCCGTGATGAGATGATGGCTTTATTATCACCCGGTGGTTTCATCATTCGTCAATGGTCGTCTAATCATCGTTCAGCTTTGAACACCTTCGATAAAAAATTCTTCGATTTAGACTGTTTGATCAAAAATGATCCAGTCCAGAAAACCTTGGGAATCATATGGGATGCCCAGAATGATCTGTTGCGGTACACTTTGAATTAGGTTGATACTAACGTCGCTGCAACAAAACGTAAACTCCTCTCTGAATTGTCAAAAATCCTTGATCCGTTAGGGTTACTAGGTCCCGTAACATTATTCGCTAAAGTCTTAATTGAAGACTGCTGGAAGGCTAAGATCACTTGGGATGAGTCTCTTCCTCAAGACATTCACACCAAGTGGACATCATTAGCACTTCAACTACCAAGGTTGCAAGAAATCTCATTTTCTCGACAAATTCTGATCCCTAATCATTCTCGAGTCGAAATCCATGGATTTTGTGATGCCTCCATTCATGGATATGGGGCGTGTCTCACAAGGTCATGTATTAATTAAACTGGTCTGTAGTAAATCGCGAGTAGCACCCTTGAGTGGACTTACAATTCCTCGATTGGAACTCTGCGCAGCTACCATCCTCAAAAGATTATATCTCGAAACTAAGGCTCAGTTGGACTTCTCCATTGATCAGGTTTATTTGTGGTCTGATTCCACTATCGTTCTTTGCTGGCTCAAGAAAGCCCCTCATCTTTTAAGAACTTTCGAATCAGAGTTGCAGATATTCAAGAGTTAGGAAATCAAGTTAACTGGAGACACGTCCGATCTGAGGACAATCCAGCTGACACATTGTCTCAAGGACAACTTCCATCCGACTTCGTCAAAAATTCTCTCTGGACTTCAGGTCCTAGATGGTTGATTCTCGACCAATCCCAATGGCCACAGTTGATCGAACCTTCGGTCACTCAAGTGCTTGGACTAAAAAAGAGCATCTCCCTGCTCACTAACATTTCACCTGAATCCATTTAGACTCGTTTCTCGAACTTCGAATGATTGGTAAGAGTTGTTGCTCGCATCCTGCGTTGGAAGAATTCACAAGCTCCTCGGAATCGCCCCTCGGAATCGCGCAAGAATCGCATAGTCTTGATGGTTCAGCGTGAACGATTCTCCATCGAACTCCGAAAGCTTTCGACCACACAGTCTTCAGAGGGTCCAGTCCGTTCATATTTGAAGGGAACTCCCTCTGATCAATTACATCCATTCCTGGATGACAAGGGAATCCTGCGTGTGGGGGAACGTCTCAAGAGGTCGGAACTTACATCCTACAATCAAAAACATCCCATTTTGTTGCCCAGTAAACATCCTGTTACGGATATGATCATTCGACATGTCCATCAGTCAAATCTCCATGCAGGGATCCAAAGTACTCTTCACGCCATTCGAACCAAATTCTGGATTTTAAACGGCACGGATCAAATTAGGAAACTTGTCCGTCAATGTGTTGATTGCATCCGCCAGAAACCAAAGTTGGTTCACGCTCAAGTGGCTGATTTACCTAGAGCTAGAGTCAACGAAGCACCAGCTTTCTCGTGCACAGGTGTCGATTTCTTTGGACCAATTCTCATCAAGGAGAAGAAGGATCGCAACCGATCCTTCCTCAAGGCCTACGGTTGTGTGTTCGTTTGCATGGTTTCAAAGGCCGTACATATCGAGTTTGCCACTGATCTTTTCACAGAAGGTTTTTTATCAGCCTTTCGAAGGTTTGTCAGTCGCAGAGGAGTTCCTGAACATGTCTATTCTGACAATGGTACAAATTTCGTTGGAGCGAGCAGGGAGCTCAGCGAACTATATGATCTGATTCCCACCTCTGATTTCAAAGAGGTAGTAGGAAACTACGCTTTGTCCAAACGCATCGAGTGGCACTTTAATCCACCACTGTCTCCCCATTTTGGAGGAATTTGGGAAGCGGCTGTAAAGAGTTTCAGACATCACTTAAAGCGCGTTTTAAAGGATCACAAGCTCACTTATGAGCAACTTAACACTCTTCTTATCGAAATCGAAGCAATCTCAAATTCGCGACCTTTGTGTACTCTTTCAGCCGATCCCAATGATCCTTTAGCCATAACTCCAGCTCACCTATTGATAGGTAAACCATTGAACGCGCTGCCCGATAAATCGTTTATTTCAGTTCCAGATAATCGTTTGTCTACGTACAATTTCATCACTAAGGCCAAACAAGATTTCTGGAACAAGTGGCACAAAGAATATTTCCACGAATTGCAAACTCGTCATAAATGGCATGACTCAACTGCTGAACTCAAACTATGCTCAGTGGTCCTCCTCATGGATGATCTGGTCACCTGTGCACGATCGCCACTGGGAATGATCGTAGAAGTCTTCCCTGGGAATGACGGCATCGTTCGAGTCGCATCAGTCAAAACTGCGGGCGGCATCTACAAACGCAACATCCCTCGCCTATGTCTCTTGCCTGTAACTTAGTTGTAATCTAGCGTATCAAGAATTGTAAACATGCCAACTTATTCGACCGGCTCTATAACATTAGATTCTAATAACATTTCGCAGCTTTCGCCGGGCGTATGTTGCATCCTAACACCTGCGAAGGTCTAATGCCGCGTTCACATGCTGGCGAGAAGCGGGGGCGGCACGTTACGGGCGCCGTTGTCGCTGGTATGTGCCCGCGCTGACGGTTATGGGTAGGCGGTAAATGGTGGCAGCACCTTCTCGCTCGACGGGGTGGACGCACGCCGACGGACGCTATGGCGTCAGTTAGTAGAAACCAACACTGAAACGTGTATCGAGCTCTAACAAAATCTTAAATCGTATCGAGTCATCACAACTTTAAACAAACGAACTCAACGGGTTCAACAAATCAAACTAACTAACAACGTACTAGTGCACTAGTGAAACGAATTTTAATAGCGAGTGGCTATAAAATTAACGATCGAACGAACGATTAACCAACGGCACGAAATCACACGATTTCATGCCTCCACGTGGCACACAAGCCACGCTTCCAAGGACGCAACTAACGATTGCGCCAAGCAACCCCCAAATTAGCCTGCGTTATTAAGGTTTTAGTATAGGTTAATGTTTATATGTCTGGATACGTGCTAACCGTTGTCACAAACAACTGAAATAACGAACAAATACATTGTGTTCTATGTATGTGTGTGTGAATCATCGTGTGTGTCACCGCCATTCGCAGTGAACCCTCCAAACTTAGTGTATTGATAATAAATCTGGGTTTTTTTATGCCGAAAGGCTTTTTCCCACAAAACTGTGTTCTTTTTTTTTTCATAATTTGATGTAGCTGTCATACCACCTAGGGTATGATAGCCTCCAACGTCAAATCAATGATATTTTTTCGGTCCAATTTAAAATTATTTACAATCACAAGAGATTATTATTGTCATATAGTCTTTAGTATGTGGGCATTCGGTAAGCCCCTCCCGCAAAACCATCCAACTCATCGAAGCACAAATGAAACATTTCACCAAATAATTGATACAAATATCCCTCGTTCTGCTGAGGTATTGTACGACGGAGGTCATCCCTGGCCAGAAGGTAAATCTCCTCGAAATTGCTGCGTATGCGATAGTGGAGTTCTTCAGTAGCTGGCATCCTGTTGTATTCCATATAATGCATGGCAACACTTGTGATCGCCCGGACCAGAGACTCCTTGTATTATTTGAGAGGCAATGAGTCCAAAAATGTTAACCACTGATCGATCGATTCCGCTTTGTTTTTTAATGTTTTAATGCTCGGGCTCATCATAATGAGGGGTTGCCTTACATCAGCACGTACAAAAGTAACGCAGGGATTATCGTAGCTGCGATGGAATCTCACTTTGACATCCCCAAATTGCTTAGCAGGTACATTGTGGACGGCTTTTGGGTGAAACTTCTCAGGATCAAAGTAGTCCGTAATGGCATCCAGATCTTTGTACAGAAGGCCCCATTCTTCCCGTGACATTGACAGCACGACACGGTTGGGGCGTACGGCCATAAACTGCACCACAGGAACAAATNACCATAAACTGCACCACAGGAACAAATTGTCCAACACAGGTAACTTGTAAACCAACACGAATTTGCTTCGTCTCCGACTTATTAACAGGTATAACTTGCGACAGCACCACCTGTTGTTCGACACCACTGCACTCTTTTTCGTTGATATTTTCCATTTTAAAAAACTGATGAGCGAAATCGGATCGACTGGATGAGATACACCCCGAGCAGCCGCGTTTTATAGCGTTAGGTATGAGAGTGGGCGCGCTTAATTCCCCCCACCATACACATAACAGGCCTATGCGCACAACACACTACC